TCTACATATGTGTACTTTATGCAACTACAATAAGGAAATTTCCCCTCTGTGGGATGTATAAAAAGTCTGAATCTGAACATGCCAAGCCATACAAAAAAGCGTCTTTACATTGTTTTTTATCTCTTTTTTGTGTTTTTAATTATACTTAACTTTCATCACCAAACCAAAACATCAACACATTTACAAAACATATAGTAAAGTCCAAACATACAAAAGCATAAAAGACAATAACAAAAGATCACAAAAAAGCCTGACTGGACAGAGATTACTACAACATTATAGCCTCAATCAATTAGTGAAAATTAAGCATATGGCGAGTCATAGGCAGACTGGATATCACGCAAAATTCAGGGTGTCATTCTGGGAAGTTAAGGTACCTTATAATTGGATCACAGGTGCTTTCAAAACAAGGAGCACTGGTAGCTTTCCATTCACTGCATATTATTCTCTTTGCAACTAACACACCAAATATAAGGGTCTGCTATACAGTATTCGGCAATGCAAGAGAAGCTATGAATGGATCCTCTCCATCCCTGACCTCCAAATGTTCAGATTCACTGCATAGACAGGAGAACTGTTTCTTGCTGTGTGAGATCATTTCACTTGGGAAACTGTTCTCGCCAATAAATTAGAGCTCTGGCATTAGCTGCCTAATAGTAATGTTGGAACACTGGAAGGTAAAAAAAAACCCAGCTTCTCTGGCTTTTGTAAGTGGGTCTTGGAAGTAAGATGCGTTTTATACCATGTATTCAGTGCATCGCAATAGTCCAGATGGGAAAAGACAAAGGCATACTTAGCTTTTCTAAGTCAGGGAGAGATAGAACTAATGGAAGTAGCAGGAAATAATAATAATATTATTAACGTGTGTTTAAAAATGTATATGGGAATAGAATGTGACACCTAGATTTTTAGCTGTTGTTTTAAAATTGGTTGCCAGGGGACCGAGAAATGCTAGGAGTAAATGCGGCACTAAGGTCACGGAGCAGCAATATGGAACAATCACCAGCATCGGCAGACATCAATAAATCATCCGAACTGTGTTGTTTGCCAAATCTAGACCGGAGTTTATGAAAAATCATATTATTGTCACACACAGCTAAAAGTTGGGTTACTAACATCTTTCAAAAATTTGGGATATGAAGGGGGGTTTTGAAATGGGCCTATAATTTTGTGGGAGTGATTGGGCAAGATTTGGCTTTTTCAGTAAAGGCTGAATGCTTAAGATTCACTTATATTTTGTTTGTAACACATTTGAAATCAGCATCTAGTCAATAATAAAATAATCAAATGTTGGTATATGTTTTATGCACATGCAAGAAAAATTAATATTCTTCATTAGTTGGGTGCTGTATTCACCATATATCTACTAAATTGAAGGATTTGATCAAATTATTCAAGATGCCCAACAAATTAATAGACGGTGGAGGGTGTGTAACTAGGTAGGGATAGTAACACCCTATAATTAAGTTAGTAGAGTTCAGGTCAGGTAATAAATTGAAAACCTTCAGAAAAATCAGGTTGTCAATATTAACAATATTAAGACAAGTGACAAGGAATATTTGTAATGCTTCCTGAGACGATCAGATATCTACCAGAAGGGTCAGTATTTAGAGGAGATAATTGAAATGGTCTTTCTTCTTAAACAAAATTGTGACCCCCCTAGCCTTGGATAAAAATGTAAATTGATAAACCTTTGAAAACCAATTCAACATGAGTCTACTTTGACCAGAAGGTTTAATATGCGTTTCTTATAATTTCAGCAGATAGAGATTTCTGATGCGAGAATACCTTCCCTCTTTTAACTTGACTTCCCATACCATTTGCATTCCAAGTAACAAAAGTAAATGTCCCCACATCAGAAGTAGGCATATTTCCAAGCCTCCCAGCCATAGCAAACATATAGGACAAATATAACACAAATAATAGACTTATTACATTTAAAGGATTTTAGAAATATTCTCCAGTCTGGCACACATAACACACCCCAATCTCACCCTAACCCACTTCTAAGCCAAACAGGTTTGCTGTGTGCATTTGTAGCATTAGCTGGTGGGTAAAGCGCCAGCAAAAAGCTTGGCATCCTCTGGTGAAGTAAATGTTGTGGTCTTTCCATTATGCTCAACGCACAGCTTGGCAGGGAAGCGGAGAGTAGATTTCATGTTAGACTCAGAGTGACTTGATGACTTGGCAGAAAACTTGTTGTTGATTAATCACCTCTGATGTTATTGTCTGGGAAGATGTGCATCTTTGTAATACAAGGGTGCTCTCTGTCGACTTAATCCCACTATCAGCTCCCTGTCCTGATTGTCCTGTACCTGTTTGAGGTTTTGGGATATGGTGGGCTCTGTCAATTTCTAAAGCGAAAGCAGTCTGGCCAAAAAGTTTTTAGATCAGTTCAGCCACAAAAGGATGCCCCTTCTCCACACCTTCTGGGACTGGGATGTAGTTGCATTTTGCGAATTTCTTGGGAGACAGTGTGACTAAATTTCATAACAAGGACACCACCCCCCATTTTTGTTAAAATCATCAATGTGTAGGCTATTACGTGAAATACCAGGAGCGAGCAAAAATGTTTGTGTGTGCGCTCCCAGACTCCTCAAACTGAGAGCGAGGTGAAGTCTTTACACACACACATACAGGCCCAGGGGCCCCACCCCCACTCACTCACACAGAATGATCAGCGCTACTCCTTCATGTTTAGACTAGAAGCAGCAGTAGATTTGAATAGTGCTGGAGTTTCCTGTGTCCTCCCTCCTCAAATTTATCCCAATTTTGTTATGACAGCCGAACAATAATATTTTCAATGATGCACCAAGATATATGTTTCCTTGCAGTTTACAGCTTTAGCTCTCTGAGAATTGATTTCATATCACGGAGCAATGAGTGAGTGTGTGTGACTGGGTTTTGTATACTGTCTTGATTGGCTGATGAGGAATAGGTGTGTGTAAAGGTGAAGGGAGTTGGGCTGATAAGGTGGGCATTACTGACCAGTGGTTGAGGAGAATTTGGGGTGGCTATAGGCATTTAGAAACTTTAGAGTGGTAAAGATGGAAGTCTGTAGCAGTTCAAAAACAGTTGAGATGAGGGGTAGTGGATATTGTATCTTGATTTTGGTGTCATTGGGGCATCAATAGTTGCAGGGTCTAAGTGACTTGTCGTTCTTCTCCAAAGAAGAAACTGGCACCAGCAAGTGACAAAGAGGGACAGGTGATTCCAGTGGCCAGAGAGTCATTAATGTTAGTGTCCAGGGTTTGGCAGGAACAGGCTGGGGCAGCAGCACTCGGTCGATTTCCAGCTGTCCTTGGCCCAATATGAAGAGTCAATGAAAGTGTGAGTGTGAACCCCACCAGGGGTTGAGCATCAATCCGAGGTCAAGGATTGCAAGGATAGCTGATGGGGGTTTGGCTCACCAGTACTTTGCCCCTTAATGGTGAGCCCTGACTTTTGCTTGGCACTGGGAGACAAAACTACTCAGTACAGGCAGAGATCCTCTCTGCGGCTACGTTCTTGCTCCTCCAGTGTGAATTACAAAGGCTCAGGCCCACCTTTGCATGCAGCACAGGGCCGTGGGTCGGCATTTTTAATTTTTTTACTCACTTTGGTCCATAGTGGAAACCTTGTATTTACACCCTGTCGCAACTGTTGGACATTTACAATCTACCACCTCTACTCTCTGCATCACTGTGTGTGATTGTTAACTCCACTGAGGAGATGAGATGAGCAAGTGACACAACTCGCTTAAATACAGATATAGACCAGCAAAATGTTTTGCGCAACAGTGCTACCAAGGAACATTTTTAGTTGCTCTTCACAGCTTTGTGTTTCCACTCTGGAGCCCTGTATTTGTGTGTTTGTTTGAACTGCCATTGTAGTGTGGTGTACTACAGATGTTCAGGCACATAGTGATTATAAAATTTGCCCACCAGCCACACCGTTAATATATGTGTATCAGCAAGAGCGAGATGCCGCTGCACACATGGAACAACCTTAACAAACACAGAGTTAGAGATCTTACATGTTATTATGAGAAGTGTAAAACAATGAAACTGAAACTATGCAGAGATTAATTGGACTAGGCCGCCACAGTTAAAATAACTTGAGACACTGACAACTCCAAGCATACAAGAGTGAGGCTGCTACCCGCAGGCCATCTGTGTGAAACACAGTAACCACTGAGCAGTATATAGTTATAAGAATTAAATGAAGCTTTGATTCAAAGAATTTGAAAAAATAGAGTTATTCGAGGGGGACCACATCCTGGAGTAACAATGTCTCATTACAGCCAATATGTCAAGCTAGAATTCTGTGTCGGTTTGCCATACCTTTTGAGGTCTTCAGGCTTACCCCATCCTCCAATGAAGAGTTTGGTGAGGAGCAGCCTTCTATAAAATACATCTAGACGGCTCACACCCATGGACCAGCGTCGGGCATCTGCACAGAGAGACGTCCTTCAATGACAATGTGCAAAAATGTTTTAAAATGTTTTACTTTGAAAACAATCAAAAGGTATTTTCTCCATAACTTCATCAATAGCTTTTTGAACCAATGTGTAATCGACAACTTCACATTTTAAATGAAATCACCAGGTAAATAAGATGGACCTAATGATTTGGATTACAACTTTTACAAAAAAAAACTTCCAGTAGGGTTTGTTTCAATAAGTGTTCAGCACCAAGTTTTCTACCTCCCTTTTCTTGCCCTGTGTTTTCCCTTCCCCCAGCGTTTCTTGTTCATCTCCTTCACTGTGTGTAACTATCTGGAGCTGGGCAGGGCCTCCTGTTGACTGCCTGCACAGCTGAGCTTCATCTCCTCATCAACTCCACCTTTCCTCACTCTAGAAACCCCAGCTCATCTCTCCTGTCTTCACCAGATTGCCTGTTCACCAGTGTGGTAACACATCTCAGCTTTGTGATTTTACTTCTATCTTTGTGCCTTGCCTTTTTTTGCTGCATACTTACCCTTGGCTCCTTCTCTGGGTTTATCAACCACCTCATCCTACCTTTCATGTTTCTCAGTTACAACCAGTTACCACTACCTTTTTTTGTTCAGCTTTTCGCACTCTTCATGTTTTTAATTCTGAAATGCCACAAGACAACTGCCTTTAGCCTAAGCAGTGCATTAAGTGGAACAGCACTTGCCCTGTTATTGATTCCTGAATGGCCAAATCTCATTAAGAAAGACGGCTGGTGTGGAATAACACAAATTCCTTCAGGTCCAAATTTTGTGGCTGGATCAGGTGAGTCTGATTCACTGCTCAGTGGACACTAACATCATAACAAGGCTGTACAATTCTGTCTGATGGTCAACATTTAGAGTGACGTTTTTCTATTAGATCAAGGCATGACTAAATACAATAGATTGGCTAAAAACTGGCTAAAAAAATAAAATAAAATAAGAATGAAGCCGACCTAAATATGTTTTTGCATTTTATCCAATATCCTGTCTATCCTGTTTAATTAATGTTGACTATGTTTGGCCCTCGACGTAGTCCCAGTTTTTAATTTTGGCCCTCTCTGTGATTGAGTTTGACAGCACTGTTCTAGTTAGATCTCTTAGAGCAGTGCACCGCCAATGGCTGCTGCTCTGGCCGACTAGAAATGTAGTGTAATTTCTGGTCACTATATACCTTTAACCTGAAGTCACAAGATGAATGTCACTATATACCTTTAATCTGCACTACAATCTAATGTGTGTTGAAGTATAATCACTGATGATTACAACAAGTTTAACACAATAATGACGAATCAAAGCACATACTCAGTGTGTTTCAAGCAGTAAGATGTGCATGTATAACTTGTGTTAAGAAATAATAATATTTTAAAAAAAAAGGCAATCTGACAAAAAGAAAGCTTAATGGTGTCAAATCAGAGACAAATATCTTTAAAAAAAATTGTAAACGGTTTGGACAGATATAATGGTGTCAAGAGTAAGAAAAACTGTGTAAAAGAAAAAGAGACATGGCAGGGCTAGATAGAGGGAAAGTCCCAGCTCCAAAGCCATCCAAAGCAACCCAGGTGTTTGGAGACTTTCCAGGGGTAAACTCAAGTCCAACATACCAAAGTAACCCCGGTGCTTGGAGACTTTCCAGGGGGAAGGTCGCAATGTTAGACCATCCCCAATAACCAATAAGATTAGATCACGATGTCAGACCATAAATGATAGATGTAATGATAGACCAGTCAGATAAGTAACAGGGGTGGCCCTTAAGGATAGATAAAGCGGAGCAACATCACTGTTGGTCAGAGTTTTTCTCTGGTGTGGCTCCGGCTCACTACTGAATGCTCTCGGATTTTCTTGTCGACAATAAAACTCTGCTGCTTTTAAGTTGACTTCTCCTGTTTTTTATTCGACTGAATTTTTGGACTTTTGGACGACGAGTGGATCTTAGTTTTCACCATAAAAGAAACAAGGAGAAGCAAGAATCCAGGTCCACCATAACTGATGAGAGACTAAGCAATCTGGGTGTGCTATGTATCGAGTCTAGGAGGGCAAACTTTGAATCTTGACTCATTTGTTGGTAATTTTGCCAAAAATCACAAAAAACGCAGAATATAGTTGCTCTAATTCTACTGCTCTAAGTGCTCTAAGTTTTCAATATTGTAATTTTCAAAAATTMTAAATGTAACAAATAAAGTATTATGTTGTGTTTTTTTTGCTCTTTACTTTATAAAGCACTTCATCTGGCACACATAGGCTATCAGGTCATGTGCACGAGGCAACGCCTCAGGGAACCCTACTGGTGGCCGTGCATGGATGACCTGGTCAACAGTGTGCTATTGTCTTGCTCAATCTCAATCCTGCGACAAAACAGCAAAAACATCTCCAGCACCGTTACAGCCTAACACCATTGTGGCATAGTTTCCTTTGTTGTTACTGCTCTTGTGATAATACTAGTGAATTCTAAAAAAAAACATTGTCTCTATGTGAACTGTTGAGTATCTAACAGTTGTGTGAGTAAGAGGGAATTCAAATGAATTATTAAGTAAGTCAGAGTGTTACTATATGTATAAAAACATTTGGGAAGTGCCCTTTTTTATCGATTGAGCCCCTGCCCCCCAAAATGTCTGTGCACGTATGTGACTGGAAAGCAAGTTTGCCCTGTGGAGGTTGGCTGCACGGGTTTCCTTGCAACATCCACCATCTGGTTGCTCAGAGATCTGACAAGTCCTGCACCAGACCGTAAGAAAAACATCACACACTGTAGAATGCTGCAGCCAATGGCTCTGGATCAGGAGGAAAGATCCTAAATGGGCCTCAAGATGCTAGGGACATGCACCCAGGTCTGATCAACCTGTGGTGGGCCTGCCTTAGAAGAGGGTGCCTTTTGATTAAAATGCCGAAACACCTGATTAAAAACGCATAGATAGTGATAATGTCTGATCTACTGAGCAGGCCACATAGCTCTCATCATACTGCCATACAAGCCAGTAGCCTGTCAGATTTATCTTTAGCCTCAGTATACCCTCAAGTTCGGTCTCTCTTGTGCTGACACACAAACTCAGTGTTAACAGACACATCTGTAAACAACAATTTGGTCTTCATCAACACAACGTACCGCCCTCTGCAGCCTGGTTTGTATTGTTTTGCTTTTTCAACTAATTGGGGAGAGATCTCACATTCTGCATAATTTTTTTCCCAGCACTTTGCTTCAGCCCGGCATACCCTCTTCCTCCTTAACCCAGAGGGCATCTCCAGTCTAAGATCTGGGAGGATATATCCTGGTGCTGCTGTTCTGTGTGTAAACAATCGAGCAATGTCTGAATGGATCTGCCATTGTGGATTTTAACAGACTGAAAATTAGTAAAAGAAAGAGCTGCTGCCACTCATGCTGCGTCATCGAAGGTCTCCTCAAGTCTTGTGGTAAACTTGTAGGGTGTTTGTGAAGATTAGAAAAAAAGTATGCAACTTTATAGCTTTAACGTATACAGTACTGTACATGCAATGCGAAATTCCCATAATTTTCTCCACCTACTTGAATTGAGATATTTGAACTTGAATGAAAGATTTGCATGACACAATGATGTGAAAGCTAATCGGCATTGAGAACGAAACTCACCTAGCAGCAACCAAAGTTAATAGGTCATCAATGTGGCCACAGGTCAGCCTCAAGTAGGGCTAGACACATCAGAAATCCAGACCCAGCACCTGGAAAGACAGTGAAATTTACAATTATGAACAAACACAGTTACCTATGCCAGCCTCCTCTCTTTTTTGGAAGAGAACTGGCGAAAATTCGCAGGTTGTGTTTAGAAATTATCCTGTGGCAAAACTTACACGAGTTCTACGTAGTAAAACATTTGCTTGCCAGTGCAACCCTAGCCTGGTTGTTTCCTTGCTCTGAAACACGTTTCTCATGATTCCCAATAACAGCTTTTTAGGGAGGCATGTGTTTGCAAGGTCATTAATGGAAGTGGACCTCAACAGTGAAATATATTACTATAACTTCCTAATACATTTTGGGTCAACATTATACAGGACCTGATGACACCCTAATGTATCTCAAATCAATCCCTCAACTCTCATACCTCTGGGATAGTACTTAATAGTAATTACTGCTGCAATAACTGACAAAACTAACAATTTTGTACCTTGTCTTTTTGTGTCTTGTTGTGAATGTTGAACTGCTGCTGTGACACAACAATTTCCCAACTGGGATCAATAAAGTTAATCTATCTATCTAAATAGGCCTTATGTGCACACAGGACAAAGGGTGAACATCAGGCATTTTAGCCTTAGTTTGTGTGGCTTCAGTTGAAAGAAGACACACAATGATGTCCTACACAAATCTCAGTATCACCAGACAGTGACCATACACATTTATGTTCACATGCTGATGTCTTCGGCTCTAGGTCAGAACTGAACATTTAGATGGCTCGCAGGCTGAATCTTGCCCAAAGGATGGTTCTTTCTGGTCTTCAGGGTTGAAGACAAACCACAGAATTTGAATTATGAAGCCAAAAAATACGATGAAATTACCTGAATTGACTTTGATTTTCAAATTACTGTGTCGTTAGTGTGCTTCTACGTAAAAGGTGGGCGGTAAAGCTGTGTGTGCTTAGTTTGAAAGACAACAACTTGAGCTATCACAAAACATGCATAGAAATAGGCCTGCAGAATTCATTTGTAAACATTCCAGACCCATTTATCTACAAAACAAATCACAATCTCATAAATTAAAAATAAATAACTTCTTCATATGTGTATGTTAGACATTGAACGGTATGGAAATTTGGTATCACAATTATAGTGACCAAAATTATCAGTATTATCAGGGAAATTGTTAAAATGTGCTATAAATGCTCAAAAGTTAAAACATAGTGTTTTCATTATTTATCGAAGGTCGACAACTTGTGACGTTAACTTTAGACGTCAGCCCAAATGCTAGAGTCAGAACAAAATACCAATGTTTGTTAAATCAGAATCTGATTTATTGCCAAGTAGGTTACACATACATGAAATTTGATGTGGTGTGCTTGTGCAATTGTAAATATAGAAATTAGGAAACAAAAATGTAATAAAAAAATTAAATGTAATATAAGCTGGAGAGATTGTACAAAATGTACAGCTTTCTTCCACCTGCACAATATTAAGAAAATTAGAAACATCCTGTCTCAGAAGGATGCTGAGAAACTAGTCCACGCATTGACAGGTTTCAGAGCTTTGATAAGACTTTTATTACGAAGGAACATTTTGTGGAGTTGGGTGATGGAAGAAGTACGAGTGAGGGAGTTTTTCCTCCACAGTCACCAAAGTGCTGCTCATTGTGGGAACTGTTGGGTTTCTCTATATTAAAAAGATGTTAAGGTCTTGACCGTCTATGTAAAGTGCCTTGGGATAATGTATATTATGAATTGGCCCTATACAAATTATATATATAAAATTAAATTAAATTGTGTGGTGTCGCATTGAGGAGAGGTGATTCAGGGGGTCTACCTGACAGACAGCAGGGGTCATGTGAAAACAACGCTAAATAAGGTGCTTTACATCCCATCCTTCCCACGAGACATATTCTCACTTAAAGCAGCGGTGACCAACGGAGCTTCTGACAGGGGTGTAACCAACTCATCCAGACTGGTACACTGTACTTTCTTAACAAGTGATTAAAATTATGATGGGTGTTCAAATGTGGCACAAAATTCTTTGTTGCTGTAATTATGATTTGTCAAAGTTAGAGAAGGTAACAGAAGGAATAAAAATCAAGGGCAAGGTTGACAACTGTAATCTAAGCTGTGAAGTGTGCACAAAAGGGAAATTGCTCAAAGTAGGAACAGCCAGATGACAAAACACAAGTAGTTCTCAAGAAAGTCATTGTCCATGCTATCCTAAAAGAGAAAGCCTCCAGACTTTTTAACCAATGAATGTTACGTGTGTGTTGTGTGATGACTGGATAAATCTGAGTGTTGACAATTGCAACAGAATTATGGTGTGATCTACCAAAAACTTTGAGGAGGCACATAAGGGATCATTAAAAACAGCAACTAACAAAAACAGGTTAAAGTGCAGCATTTATTTTAAAAATTGTTCAGGGTAGTTATCATGCAAAAAAAAATTGCTAGCATGCTAGCATATTTTTTTTATGGTTTTTGTGAAA